ATATTGTCTTGATGACACTAGCCTGTTTCACACTAAATATACACAACAAATATTTGACTATTTTATAATTTAAAGAAACACTAAATGTCAATTGCCATTTCACGAATGCAAAAAGAATAAATGAAGTTAAACGGCACCTACTGCATGATGAAAATCATCGCTTAGACAGAACTGTCATATTGGAATAATAGAAAGACAAGAAGTCTCTTTTAAAAAACTATTTCTGACATTAAAATAAGATCCAAATCTCTTCTATTTTGAGACCCACCTAAACGTGACATAGTAATGCGGTTTCCCCACCCACTGACTGACAGCTGCGTATTAACACGTCTCCGTAGTAACGCGTATAATCATATCAACAAGACAGGACGTGCATATCTCAACCAGGAATAAAAGAACTGTTCAGCTTCTGTGATCATCAATCATCATTAAATGTGATCAAGAATGAGTTTTACAAGTTGAAAACGTTTTAACAACAGTGCATGTTTTTAATAAAGTAAAGACGGTACAAATTTATGTAATTCATCACCACAGCCACATGTCAGTACGATTATAAAAGAAGACGTTTTAATCCCGGTTTCTGGATGTTAAATATGGTTTATTTTGTCCATTAACATAACAGATATCCATATCCATAGCAGTGGATATTAACATGTATCCTGTCACATTTGCCATGCAAAAATAGTGCAGTGGGCGGGGAGAACTAGCATTAAAGGCACAGGCCACAGAAACAGCTTTTTGTGTTCAAAGCAAAAAATCACAATAAAAGGTACAATAAATAATCTGATGGGTGTTTTGAGCTGAAACATTACAGGCACATTCTGGAGACACAAAAGACTTCTCTTAAATCTAGAAAATTGGGTAAAAAAGGTGCCCTTTAAAACTATAAATAATATAAATAATTCAATTTGATATAAAAAAAGCAGAAAAATAAGAAAATGAAATATTGAAGCAGTTTTCTCTTAAAATAATTGCAATTACCAGAGACACACAGATTAATTAGTCCATTTTTTATCAGTTAAAAAATACAGCCATACTGGTTATATTAAAAGTATATATATATACTAAAATGATAGTTTTGAAATAAAGTAATAGTTTACAATTACATTTACAGATTATACTGCAAATGTTTTCGTTTATACTGTAATTTTACATAATTATTCTGGCAACAACAGCAGTCAGGTCTTTATTTTATAAATAAATTGATTATTTTAATGACAAATGTTAAATTAAGTGAGCAAGTGCTAAATCTAAATGATGCATATTAATCTTTATTAATATTAATAAGACTAGGCTCTAAGCAGCAGAAAAGTAATCAGTGTGAAAACACATGTGAGCCTGCTACTGCAGTTAAAGTGACAGTTCGCCAAAAATAAAACCTCATCATCATTCATTGTCATTATTTACACACTTGTTCCAAACCAGTTTGAGTTTCTTTTATTAAAAGCAAAGTAAGAAATATTGAAGAATGTTAAACATTTTTAAAACATATTCTTCTGTGTTATATATAGGATGATGAAAAAATGGTCATTTTCTGGGAGAATGGTCCCTTTAAGCTGCAGCACTGCTTGTGTTCTGTTTGTGCATGCAGTGTGAAACAGCATGAACCTCATCTGTGGCAGAAAAACACACTCGAGGCTAAAAGAAAGCACACATGCGAGGCCTGTCATTTTGATACAGAACTATTTATATCCTAAATATTTGTTAGTTGTCTTTTAAATGTGTCTAGATTGTCATTTTGAGGTGGGATTTCTTTTCTTTGAGGTTCAAGTTTGGAATATTTATCTGTCATAACACAGAGCGTTTCACAAATGAATTACTCTGGCAGCATAGAGTGTTCAATAGAATAATGCCGTTTCATGTTTTCTGGAGCATGTCACGCTCTGAAATCCCTGTTATCCTCTTCACTCTGTTAACTATAACCAGTGTGTTCGCCAGGCTGAATCTCTGAGGACAGGATGATGGATCCCCACACATCTGACGTCACATACTGTCTCATCATGTATATTCTGCACAAATCTATATGCACTAAAGCGATAAAAGCTATGCACATTTTAGTATCTGCATATCACACTGTAAGCTATGTATGAGTTTGTCCAATAATGAGATGAAGATTAGAAAATACTAGGATTTAGAACTTTATGTTTTTAGAGCATTATGGTTTAAAAATATTTATATCAGAAATGTAGCTTTTACCGCTAGTTCTACCAGGAAGACATAATGTCGTCACTCATCACAATCAATTCCAACTAGAGGTCTGCATTCCAGTGGCTGCGGGACCTGACAAGATTTCTGGTAGCTGTCGGTAACTCTGGTGTAATTTAAACGGGAGCGGGCAGTCAAACGATATAGCGCTCCTGAGAGAGAGAGAGAGAGAGAGAGAGAGAGAGAGAGAGCATCCGCCGTGGTGCTGTGTGTTGCTTATTATAGGCTGTCTGGACTGTGAATCATCCTGCTGGGTGTTGGGGAGGCATATTTAATCGCTATACATTTTACATTCTTCCTTGGCCCAATATGTACCTGCTATGTGTATAGAAAGAATGCTGATATGATATATGAAACACAATCGGTAGATGACAAAAATATCAAGTGGACATGTTTGTTAATCTGACTGTGAAAGAGTCAGTGACTCACCAGCCACAAACCTAACCGCACATCACTGTTTAAGGCGGCACTCATGTCTCATCACAAAGGGGCAAACAAAACTGACATTTTATCGGTTATCTCTCTCTTTTAGTATTTTAAAGTGAGATTTTGAAAACCAGATTTAAATTTAGCAGGAACGGTCTGGTCGGGGAAAAAAGGGGCAGGGTGGGCAGCGGGTGAACATTGGCTGAATATACAGCGGGAGCGGTCAGGCGCGGAGTAAAACCTGGCGGCAGCAGAATACAAAATTCGGTTCCCATACAGATCTCTAGTTCCAACCAATAGCCACTAGACTCAAGGAAATATATAAGCTGTCTATTCATTTCCTTCGTTTGGTTGTAGATACTGATGTGGACGTTCATCCACCATCCTCCCCAACACCACCAGGTTGGCCCTGTCTTGGAAGGGTAAGCTCCGCCCCTGCCTTCATCCTCGGCAGCCATAGCTGAATTTACAAACTTTCAATTCAAGTCAAATGTTAACCATCAAATAAATGTAATTCAATATCATTTTCATCTCCCTGGTCTTTCTGGAAAGGATCCTTTCTTTTTACTGAAGCTGCATTTATTTGATCAAAAAAATACAAAAAAGTTTACAATTTTACAATAAGAATAGTTTTTATTTTTAAAGTCCAGCTTGTGAAAAAACTGCCAGCAAGAACATCGTTTTTTTATGCTTTTAACACCTGCATTAATAATGGCATTATCAGTACTGTATATTTAAATAGTAAAAACAAGTTTTAGTAGCAGCGTGCTTGATTTAATTGTAGTTTCACATTATGTAAGTTCCATTTCTCGGAGAACAGTGTAATAATCAATAAACTGTACTTTTTTTCAGGGTCACATGATCCTTCAGGAACATTCTAACTGGCTAATTTAATGTTTAAGAAAAGGTGTTGTCATTAAAAATGCTGAAAGCACAATTTATTTAATTTAGAAAGCTTTTGTATCACAAAAAAAAAAACTCTGTCATTTTTATTCGGGCTGCACAATATATCGTTTTAGCATTGATATCGCAATGTGTGCCTTCCCAATAGTCACATCGCAATATCTGCAATATTGAGTTGGGATTAAAGCTTATGAGTACAGCCAGACAGAATCTGCAGACATTTTTGGTAAGTAATCTGCAGATTTATGCCGAATTATTTTGGGAGTATCATGACTAAAAACTTAATAAATAAAATAAAAAATAATGTTTTTTTTTTTTACTTTTATTTAATATTTACAACGCAAATCCATCTAGATCCACTTATTTGGTAAATAAAGCAAGTATCTCATATAATATCTCTACTAAAATACAGAAAATATTACATTACAAACTGTTTTGTAAATAAATCAAAAAACACTTTCATACTAGTCAGTAATATTACTGAAATTAATTTAAAAACAACACATAAATTTTCACGCACTTACACAATTAAATGAACAGACTCAAGGATGGGCTCAAAATCTGCAGACTTCTGCACGTGCAGATTCCGTGCAGGCCTATTTACAGGCAATGAAGACTGTACAGTGTTACTTTATACTACATTTGATTATTCAATTACTGAATATCTGAATATTGTTAGACTCCAGAAAACACTTCTTTTTTCACTTTTAACAATGCTCTACCTTATTTATGCTTGCAATTTGTTGGATTCACCGTACTGCAACAAAACGATTTCAATCAATCTAAATCCATACAAAACAGAGCTATTCAAGCCATCTGCTAAATTGTATTAATTCAATATATATCGTAAAAAAAAAATTACAATTTCAGATTTTTTCAATATCACGCAGCTCTAATTTTTATACTAAAAACATAAAAGTCCAAAATGTTTAAAGGTTAGTAAACCATATTTTTTTAGCCTAGATGTAAAAGTCTAAATTGCTATTTTGAGCTGGGATTACTTTCCTTTTATTTTGAAATTCTGAATAATATTAATATCTTTATTGTCACTCTCAATGTTTTTATTTAAACCACAGAAGTGCACATTTATTGGAATGATAGTGTAATAAATATTCTATTCTATTCTATAGTCATATTTCAAATAATATTCATTTCTCTAAATCTGAAGACTGGTTAATGCTTACACACACACAAATAAACATGCTTTGATTTCCCAGAATATTTGTTTAATGCTCCTTTTCCTTGAAAATCCCTCTGTCACGATCCCAGCCCCCCTGTTGCTTCATATTCTAACCCTTCTCAGCCAGAACAATGTCGAAACGCTGGATTATTCAACCAACGTACCGGTTCATTTCCCCAGGAGTAACTCAAGGCGTCTCCATCAAAGCCACAATGGCACTGAATCATCAAATATGCTGTGTGTGTATGTGTGTGTGTGTGTGTGTGTGTGTGTATGTGTGACTCACCTGGGCGTCTGTGGGGGCGGAGCTCTGATCTGGCTGCTGCGGCTGCACAGACGTCGCACTGATCGTCACATTCTTGTCTGAGCGGCTGCTGCTGTCGCGGCTGTGAGGCTTGTGTCGATCCCTGCTGCTGCGCTCACTGCACGACAGAGACACACATAGCGACGGAGGTGAGGAAAACGCACTCGCCATGCTGAACAGAGCAGGGAAACACATTCAAACTAACGACAGGATGGCCATCATCATCATTATCATCATTGCTCATTATCATCATCATCCTCCTCTGGTTTCCTCTATCCACGTCTCACACATGTCCTGGCTGGAGCATCTGGTGTAAACTGGGTTAGATGCAGTGAGCTGTGACGACCCTAATCCAAGCACAGCTTTCTCTCGCTCTCTCTCTCTCTCTCTCGCTCAGTCTTTTTTGTCATAGCTAATGTCTGTAAGCCTTAGAATAAAGCAAAGCAGATGAACACATGCAGAGGAAATACAAAGCTACTGCACACACATACTGTATTATATCAAACAGCAGCAGACAAACTGTAGACAACTCGTATTAGCAATGCTTGACATTAGCAAAGAACTCATAAGTATCTTATTGACTTGACATACTTTAGGTAAACACTGTCTGTTTAACTAGATGACATAAATGTAATACTTGGCAAGTGACTGTTTACATAATTGCTTGTTACTTTTGCTGTGCACACAAATGAAGCAACCTAGCAGTCAAGCTTGCAAATATTATCTATTTGGAAAGCTCTACATAAATGTGAACTGATTTCATTTGGTTATAGAGTTGAGAACTAGATTTGCCATTGCCTGGTGTTGTAAATGAGGGCGATGCCAACCCTCTTGTGCACCACCAGATGGAACCATCGCCAGAATTCTGATTCGACTCACGGACTCAAAATCCCATAAGCCCTGCTACCTGGCACTGATTACGGTCCAGGTGCAACTCATCAGCTTTCGTGTATATATACCACACTCACACTCCGGTTCGTTGCGAAGTCTTGATTTGCCTGGCTGTCATTTCTGAGCGTTCCATACTCCCTGCTTCGGACTGATCTGTGTTTCTGACCCTGTGCTTGTTCTACGATTACGAAAGACATCTGCCTGCCCCTGATCTCCAGCCTGTTATTCTGACCAGTAAGATATCTGCCTGCCTTTGAACTTTTGCCTGTCCCACGTTCTGTCTCCTGGATTGCCCCTTTGTGTTTGTTTGTATGTGTGCTCTTAATAAAGCTTGCAAATGGATTCAATGCCTTCTGACTCAGCACAACAGAAGACTTCGCCACTACAGAATCCAGCAGCTTTAGCACAAGTCTCGACTGAACTTTCCGCTCAAGCCACTCAGTTAGCCACCCATCATCAACAACTCACCCATCTAACTTCTCTCACGGAGGAACTGGTGAGAGCTATGCAGCAACTCCGTCATCCGAATCCTGCAGTTACCCCGCCTGCTACCATGACAGCTTCTCAACCAACGCATGTCTCCAATGCTCCGGCTACCGTAAGTCCCCGATTAGCTTTTCCTGAAAAGTTTGATGGGTCACCTTCTCGCTGCAAAGGCTTCTTATTGCAATGCAAACTATTTGTTAACCAACAACCTGCATTATATCCCACTGATTCTAGTCGGGTGGCTTTTGTATGCAACCTGTTAACGGGGAAAGCGCTGGAATGGGCTACAGCGATATGGAAGGAGGAGGAATGTAACTATCCCACATTTGAAACTTTTCTCAAGCAATTTCGGGAAGTGTTCGAGCACCCAGCAGATGGGAGAAGCCCCGGTGAGCAGTTACTTTCTCTTACACAGGGGCGTAACACAGCTGCAGAATACGCCCTGTCATTTCGCACTCTCGCCGCTCAAACTAACTGGGTTGAGGATACACTGAAGACACTATTCAGACGGGGTCTGAATACCAATCTACAATCTGAATTGGCTTGCCGTGACGAAGGAAAGAAATTGAACGAACTCATTGAACTTACCATCCGTCTGGATCATCTGATTCGCAGCCGTAGAAATCCTCGCACACAGCTCCATGTTTCAAGTGACACGCCCCCTGATGAACCCATGCAACTGGGTTTCACCCGTCTCACCCATGAAGAAAGAATGCATCGTTTGCAAAATCATCTATGCCTGTACTGCGGTCAATCAGGGCACAGGAAATCCACCTGCAGCGTACGACCTCAGACACCAGTTCAATCGGTGAGTCCTTCCCATGTTCCTGCACTTTTCAGTGTACTGATTCCTGTGATTATTAAACTTGATAAAAGAATGATTAACACTACGGCTCTTGTCGACTCTGGATCTGCCGGAAACTTTATATCTAAGAAATTTGCTTTATGTCACGAACTATCTCTCAGCTCATATGATTCCTGTCTTGCAGTGGAAGCACTAGACGGTCGTCCTGTGGGTGAAGGACGCATCCGTATGATTACGAATAAGCTACAGTTACAAGTTGGTGTTCTACACATTGAAGAAATGCAATTCTACATTATTGATTCAGTTAATCATCCACTGGTGTTGGGACTGCCCTGGTTAAGGCGACATGATCCTCATATCTCCTGGAGGGACGGACAGATATTGCAGTGGAGTGAGTCATGCATGAAACAGTGCATCCAGCCCATTCACAAAATTCCATTACGAACCACCAATGTGTTACCTGAACTCGTTGATGAACTCATCCCCATTGAGTACCATGACTTACATGAAGCTTTTAGCAAACAAAAAGCTACTCAACTTCCCCCACATCGACCAAGTGATTGTGCTATTGAGTTAATTCCAGGTTCAAGTCCTCCAACGGGTCGAATATTCCCTCTGTCACAACCTGAGCACAAGGCAATGTCTGAATATATCGACGAGGAATTGGCCAAGGGTTTCATCCGACCTTCTACATCTCCTGCTTCAGCTGGATTCTTCTTTGTAAAGAAGAAAGATGGCAGTTTACGTCCCTGTATTGATTACCGAGGGCTCAATGAAATCACCGTAAAATTCCGCTATCCATTACCCCTCGTACCTCCTGCCCTGGAACAATTAAGAAAGGCTAGATATTATACCAAGCTTGATCTTCGCAGTGCATATAACCTTGTCAGAATCCGTGCTGGTGACGAGTGGAAGACCGCGTTTTCCACCACTAGGGGGCACTATGAGTACACGGTAATGCCCTTCGGCCTGTCAAACTGTCCATCCGTGTTCCAATCTTTTATGAACGATGTCTTTCGGGATATGCTGGATCGCTGGGTCATCATTTACATCGACGACATCCTCATATATTCAAACACGATGAAGGAACATGTTGAACATGTACGTATGGTGTTGCAACGCATGATTCAACATCGTCTGTACGCCAAATTAGAGAAGTGTGAATTTCACCAGACACAGATCGCCTTTTTGGGATACGTCATCAGTGCAGAAGGGATTACCATGGATGATACGAAGGTACAGGCAGTTCAACGATGGCCGTTACCCCAGAATCTCAAGGAGTTGCAGCGATTTCTAGGTTTTGCCAACTTCTATAGACGGTTTATCAGAGGCTTTAGTTCAATAGCCGCACCATTAACAGCCATGACCAAACGAAATTCCCACAAACTATCCTGGTCCTCTGAAGCACGCCAAGCATTTAGCGATCTGAAGACTCAATTCACCACAGCTCCTATTCTCCGTCATCCCAACCCAGACCTACCTTTCATTGTGGAAGTGGATGCATCCAACACAGGAGTCGGTGCTGTGTTATCTCAACGTCAGGGTCAACCATCCAAAATGTATCCATGTGCCTTCTTCTCCCGTAAATTGACCAGCGCAGAACGAAACTATGATGTGGGAAATCGCGAATTACTGGCAATGAAATTAGCCCTGGAAGAATGGAGACACTGGCTGGAGGGGGCTAGTCAGCAATTCACCATATTAACTGACCACAAGAATCTGGAATATCTTCGCTCAGCCAAACGTCTAAATCCCAGACAAGCTCGTTGGGCTTTGTTCTTCACCAGATTCGACTTCATTGTCACCTATAGACCAGGGAGTAAAAACAGTAAGGCAGATGCACTATCCAGGCTATCAGAGGATAAAACCCCAATTAGTGATGAAACCATTATTCCTACGAACTTACTAGTGGCTCCAGTACAGTGGGACATACTTACCGAGATCCAAGAGGCCAACCGAGAAAACAACCCTCCAGTAGACTGTCCGAATCACCTGATTTTTGTACCCAATAACATACGTACCAGATTACTGACCCATATTCATGACACTCCCAGTTCGGGGCATCCAGGCATCACTGCAACTTTGGAGTTAGTCAAAGCCCGTTTCTGGTGGCCGTCCCTCACGAAGGATGTAATTAATTATGTTCAGAAATGTAAAATTTGCCAAAGCACGAAGGCATCTCACCAAACCCCTGCTGGCCTGTTACAACCGCTACCGGTTCCACAACGGCCCTGGTCCCATATAGCGGTGGACTTCATTACGGATCTCCCTGTTTCCCAGAACAACACAGTCATTCTCACGGTGGTTGATCGTTTCTCCAAGGCTTGTCGCCTAATACCGTTGCCCAAATTGCCCTCTGCCTTTGAAACCGCAGAAGCCCTGTGCAATCATGTATTTCGAATGTTTGGCTTACCTGATGATATCGTCTCAGACAGGGGATCCCAATTCACTTCCCGGGTATGGTCCGCTCTCTGTAAAAATCTAAATATTAATGTTAGTCTCACCTCAGGGTACCATCCTCAATCCAACGGCCAAACTGAACGTATGAATCAAGAAGTCATTCGATTTCTACGTTCCTACTGTCATCAGCAACAGCACGACTGGAGTCGCTATCTGATGTGGGCAGAATATGCACAAAATTCATTAATAAAGCCAGCCACGGGTATTACGCCATTCAAATGTATTCTTGGCTACCAACCACCCCTGTTTCCATGGTCCGGAGAACCCACTGAGTTACCTGCTGTCACGGATTGGCTGCAGCGGAGTGAGGATGTCTGGAACCAGGCTCACAGACATCTCATGAGGGCAGTCAGGAGGAGAGAGATTCAGGCGAACCGTCACCGACGCCAGGGACCCACGTATCAGCCGGGGCAGTGGGTGTGGTTGTCGACACGAGACCTTCGTCTGAGATTGCCCTGCCGCAAACTTAGTCCCAG